AGATTAAATGTCAATTTTTAAACTTTTGAATCATTCAAATCGGACACTTTGTTCACTCAAAAATTGTCAATAATGCATTTTTAACTCCGTATCTCCGATACGACCAGACCTGTCTTTACCAAAGATGAATCAAAACCAAAATCTAATGTTTTTTTAATTATTCAAATCGGATGTTTTTTCTAAAATTTAATTTCTATTTGCTGCAAAAATTTTCATTTTCGATATTCGGATATTTACTATACTATACTTACCCTATAAGTTAATAAAATAGAATTGAACTAAAATAAAAATGAAGCCTCATTTATATGCAACACAAGATATCAGACATAAAACATGACATATGATATATAAAACCGATTAATAAGCTCGTATGAATAACATTCAAATGCGGTCAATAAACTTATTAATTTAGTTATTGTAATGTAATGTTTTGTTTGTTTTTATGTTTCAAAAGGTTCTTAACACTTTGCCATACCTTAAATAAATAGATGCATGTGTGTGTATATGTTTGGATATAATTTTTCGTCCACGAATTCGGGCGCACAGATCAATCGATTTGGATGATTCAAAAAACATTCGATTCCTATTGATGGGAAGATGTCCAGGGCAAAAGTGCCACAAACAGTATTTCAGTTTTTGAAAGAACGGAGCGTCCGATTTGAATGATTCAAAAAACATTTCACTTGTATTGCCGAAATAAAAAATTGATTAAATTTTTAGAAGGCTCATTCAGCAGTTATGAAGATAGAGAGAGGCAGGTAAAAAAACGATATTTAGCGGTCAAAAATGATTATATGCATATTTTATAAAGATTTTAAAAGTGAGTACTAATTTTGTTTAAATTTTGTTGGGTTCCGTATCAAGATTTTTAATTTTTGAAGTGCACTTATATGGTACAAACAATTTTCAGAAACAGTTTTTTTTTTAATTTTTTAAAAATTATACAAAGTTCTATACTTTAAATATAATTTAATGATAAAAGATCGTCACTGCATGTTTTATAAATGATAAAATATTTAGTAATTAAAATTATCTACTTTTGGAAAATGTTTGACACAATCATTCATCAATATTCATCAGTTCTTAATCATTAGCAATAATAATTGATACCACTAGTTAATTACACAATTTTTGATGTAAATAATTCTATAATATAACCCTTGCCCAGCCCTGTCTATTTTATGTAATATGGAGTAATTTGCATTTATCTCCGCACGCTAAAGTATCACTGCATACTTTCCGATGTGTGCGTTCCGAAGTGCGAAAGCTCGGCTCGGCTCGCCTATTCGCGTTATTAGTGTTAGTGTTGGTTGGTACAGGCTACAGACTACAGACGTTAAGTGAAAATAAAATTTAGGACAACGTATATGGGATGTAATTAAACGGTTGCGGTCATTTACCTTCCACGCAGATAGCACAGATTCTATTTAAGAAGTTATTTGAATATACAAATTGCACAAATTGAGATAATAAATGACACAATCGTTAAATAGCCGGAGTATAAACATGAGCGGTAAGATAATGTAATTGTATATTGGCAATACGAGTAGAAAAATAGAAGAACTAGGAGTGTGTAGGAGTTTAAGGCAAATTGGTCGAATTTCCCGTATTGTAATCAAACATTCCAGGAATAAAAATAATTAATAATCAATAAAAAAAGGGCCCGGCGTGGCGAGAAATCGGTTCGAACGTGAGCTAGCACCATCTAGTCCCGGGTTCGATGGTTTGATTCCCGCTACCGCCAAATTCTGACATCAGGCAGCTTTGATGTCAATTTTTCACTTGGGGTTATATAGATCACAATATAATTTCAAGTGGAAATCGTCCTTCGTGGACATAGCTACATTATTCAATCATATGATAACTATTATCGTTAGAGTTAATATAAACCCCACACATAGGAAAATGGTAAACCGATGGGTTGCCTCCCATAAAATACGTTAGGTCATTAGTCTTCAACAAACAGCTCATAGAACATGTAAAGTAAGAGTTCTGATTTCTATTGAAACAATAATAAATAAAAAAAATCAATGAAAATTAATCCATAATTATAACAATTGTTTTAAATATTTTAAAACAGATTATTATTAGTACCCTAAATGTATAGGCGCTTTTATATATATTTTTTTAAAAATGAGCGTATTCTATCGTATAGTAATAAAATGTAACAATGTAAAAAAAAATGTAAGTAATAAAATGCAAATAAATAAAAACATATATGCATGAACAAAACGTAATCGAGCCCAAAGTGAATGAAGATAATCGAGAATAATATATCTTAACAATTATGAGAATTATTTATCAAAAGAATATAACTTTTTTTAGAAAATTTTCATATTTTTTAATGGTAACTAAACAGTCTAGCATCTTTGCAAGAAATAAAAACAAGAAATAAAAACATATATGAATAAACAAAACGCAATCGAGCCCAAACTGAATAAAATTAATCGAGGACAATATTTCATAAAAAATATGAGAATTATTTATAAAAATAAATTATTTTTTTTATTTCAAACCAAAACTTGTTTCAATCATTCAAATCGGTTACTTCATATATTGGATATTGTAAACAAGTTCATATCGAATACAAATAAAATATAAAATTAGAAATATATGCACATGATATATATTATCTGTGTGGGTAATGATGTACATAATTTTTTTAGCTATTTTAATAAGAGGTAAAGGGGTATTTGCATACATTATTTCTATTTTGAAAAATAATTACTTTTGAAGAATAATGTTTTGTTAACTGGCGATTTAAAAATGTATCGATAGATGATAAAAAAGTAGACTAACTTCTTACTTTTATTATGTCAAACATTTACATTTATAATCAATCAATTGAATAGAGTATGCTAATTAAGACATTATTATAATGGTGTATATGTTTTTCTACACTAATAATCAGAACGCAAATAATAAGTATTTATAATAATATGAAATGAAGATAAGTCTTATTATTTCAAATAATGATTGGTCAACCCGTCTAATAAAATATACTAATATAAATGATAAAAATATTCAGAAATTTAATTAATAAATCTATTCTTTAAATAGTTGTTTTGATACTATAGTATACATAATTAAAATAAATTTAAGTTAGAATAAGTAAAAAGTTTGAATGCAAAATCGTTGAATTCGATATCAGCACACCTAACTTGAATATATCACAACAGTATACTTTGTACGAAATTCTGAAAACTAATTACGATATAATGTTTGTCAATTTCATATTATATATTATTTCAAAGTTGCAATTAAAATATAAATAAGTAAAATAGAACAATGTGCTATTATATGTCAGAAATAAAATAACAAACAGATTCTTATACTTTTAAATAAATATTTTGATATTAAATCTAATTTTATTTCATATCAATTGAATAAAAATTTAAAAATATCATTTGGCACTTTTTACAAAAAATGATTTTTTAAAATTTCCTTTAAATGTCATCGATAACTATAGGATTACTATATAATTCTAAATTGAGCATGAAAGATTTACGATAGCGATTAAAATGTTTGACAACTTAATATGACATTATTTAAATCCTTGTAATAAATGTGCGTAAGCTGTTTTTATGACTACTCTCCAAAATATAACATCATAAAAGTGATATACGGAATTGCTGGTAAGTTTATTCATATATGTACACACTTCTATTTAAATGCGCTAAGGGTATTACAAAATCCGTTTCAATGTGTATATAAAGGAATTATGCAAATATAATATATACTGTTATTTGGCTTTGGTCGAAAAGGTTTGCTTTGAAAAAAAAATATTTTGATAATAAGTTGGTATCAGGAGTTTCAGGCAAAGTATGATTTAATTTCATATATTATTAGCATCCCGTAGGGTAAGTTATAGTAATGAACAAAAAATCGAACATAAAAATGTTTGCATATCTACACGTTTCAGAGGTTTTTGAACTTTTTAGCTTACCCCAAAAAAAAATGATGTGTGTGCGTATGCATGTAAGTATGTGTGGATACAATTTTTTGTCGACTTGTGTTAGTAAAACAATTATTTTGGAAAAAAAATATTTCAATTTCAATTTTTATATAGGTATTTATTGATTATAAGTACTATTTTAGTTTTAAGTTAACTAAATAATTTTCGCACAAAACTAGCGACGTTATCATTAATCCATTACAGACTTAAACTTGCATTAATGATAACGTCGGAAATTATTTAGTTAAGCTAAAACTATAATATATAATCAATAAATATATAAAAAATTGCTATGAATTAAAAATATGGAGTGAAAAATATATTTTTAATTAAATTTAAAAATTAATTTTTCACTAAATATTTTTTTTATAATTTTCATATATAGTTATTACGATTGATTATTATTATTAATTATTTAGTATTAATATTATGTGTTTAGTATTAGCGCACTGGCTCTAATTCAATTATTCAAACATTACTTATATATTTATTGAAAATACTATTTAAATTTTGCATATTTTGCAAAGTTTGTAAAGATTAATGTTTAACTTCATTTTTTAATATAATATTTTTGATTCTCGCACAATGACCTCATAGAATTTTGTCTTTAAACAGAGATATCTGTGTTAATTTCATTATTAATTTAACAGTCAACTTCAATCTCACAAGCTATTATAACGTTTTACACTTTGACAATAAATAAAAATAGCTCTCGGCCTAGTGTCAAAAACCGGATCATGAGAGGATAACCTATTCTGATGCGGCTGTCAAAAAGGTTTTTCCAGAAAAAACTTAAAAATCGGTAAAATACTTTTTTGCAATCGAAATAAAAATAGACTTTTTTTAAATTAAACATTTTAGCATATTCAAAACGGTATTGAAGTAATGATCTCCGCATTCAAGATGTTATAATTAGATTCTGATTTTTAACAAACAAAATAACATTCGCTATTTGAAACTGGACGCAATATAGGAAATAGAATACCTTTATTCTTACCCATTCAGCACAAGTAAATCAGAAACATATATTATTTATTTTCCTAACCTGATTGCGCATGGGGTCGGTGTTGATCTGGCACATGTAAGCTCCTGAATCCGCCCGCCGGACATGCGTCACGTGGAGCCGCCAAGTATCGTGCCCGTTGTGGGTGACGCTGAGTCGCGGATCGTGCGCCACCATATGAGTGTGAATTGCCAATATAGCTTTCGAATCGGATTTAATCCAAGCCACCTGTGGAAAAAATATAGTAATAGTTTATAACCATTTTTAATCGCTTTACAAATATAAAAGAAAAATTTTGCAAAATGTATATTTAGATATGATTGTTTGTGTTTATGTCTCTATATTATTACAGTTCATCTCTTTAATAACTACTCCTTAATTATCTCTGACTATAATCTATATCACACTATTTGTCTCTATATTCAATACTCTTCCTATATAGACGAACTAAATATTAAGTTCGGTGTCCCTCAGGTCTCAATTCCTGATCCATTAATATTTCATCTAGTAGATGAACGATCTACGAAATTGTACAGATCTTTATAAATTTATTCTTTTTGCCGACGACACTAGTGTGATTGTGCAAGGCAAATTCTTAAGAAGAAGTATATATTAAAGTGAATCTAGTTATGAATTCAATTTCGAATTGGTTATATTCTAATAATCTTCTTCTTATTCATGACAAAACCCAAGTTATGTTTCTAGAATGGTAAATAAGATAAGAAATGATATCAATTCTTTAACAGTCAATAGCATCTAATTTGATTATTTCCTGTTTCTTCATTTTTAAACATTCAATTATTTAAAAACTTGAACTTCACTCCAGACTAAAACCTAAGTAATCAAAAACTTGTTTTATTCTTGAAGATCTAAGGTTAGTTTAAATAATTTCTATTCCCATCTTTCATATTGAAAACAACCCTGGGGATTCTCGTCATCTAACATCACTTCTATTCCCTGTCTATTTTTGCTAATAATGTTGCCATTCATAAATAATCATCCTGAACGCTTCAATCAATGTTGAATTCCAATGGGGCCCAATTTTTAAAGTTTAAGATCGGTAAACGTTTAAAAGCCCAAAGTTTCTACGATATTTCTGAATTTATAAATTTTCTACTGCCTACTAATAATATTTGATGTACTCTTTTTTCGACAGTTCCAATTATTTTTTCTTTTTTGTCATTTTCTTATTCAAAGGTATACAAAACTTATACTATACAAAAAAGTGAAGAAAAGAAAAATAATATAAACGTTACTAAAAAAGATCAGAACAGATATTGGTATAATGTATCATGTATGAATATATTTCAATACTTATATTTAATGAACAATTCGTCTTAAGGTCGTATAAATGTATAATTGTATGAATGTATAAAGACAAATTTGATAATAATAAAGTAAGTAATTTTAATTCTCATTTAAGTAAACATAAACAATAAACATTTTTTTATATAGATACAGATTGATACAGATTTTTTTATATAGATACAGTGATTGTGTTAAATCGTAGAGTTAAAACATTATGACAGTAATGCAGTAATAATACTTTGTCAGTAATTCTAAAACAAAATATAGATAATACAAATCTCTAAAATAAATATCCATAACTAATTTTGATTTCTCCCATTACCTATCCAAATCCCATCAGCTAGAAGATCAACGAAACCATTACCAACGCATACAAGTTTGATTAAATCAAATAGTACAAGGCGTCTCCACCGTGCTCTTTCACAGTTCGTGGCTATGAACTTTGACGAACATTTTACAGCGAAAAGCGTCGAGAATTTAGTTTTATAACTGATAACAATTAACACATATTACATGTATGTAATATGATATTGTATTATTGTTAAATTATCAATTTTTCAAATAATTGAAAAAAGTAAATATTATACATAAATACAAACAGCTTTCATAAAAAAAGCTATTTTTTTAGTTTTTGATTTAGTTTCAGGAAAGTTATGATTTAGTTTTAGATAAGAAAAAAATTATTCTTAGCTTTTGTTGCAACGCCTAGCGTGAATGGTCTTTGTTGAAGATGAGCCAAAGCCAAAGAAAGTATCATTACCTTATTCCTGTTAAATATTACCGTGTTAAAGATCTTAAAGTTCCCTTAATAAAAATTAAAAATAACAATAAATTTTAATAACAATTTTTTAAAGTTTTTATTTAAAATTCCACAGAACAAAATATTTTTTCGATAGAGTTTCATAGACATATAAATTTACAGGAAATAAATAAATGCACAACAAGAAGTATGAATAAAATTGTAAATATGCTGAATTGACAATTTCTTATACTCTGAAGTATAAGAAACAATTCTACTCTTAGCATTTCTAACAATTCATAGCGTGAATTATCTCTATTTAAGATGCACAAACGTAAGACACTACATATAATTAACAGTGTGTATTAATAACTTATTCCATTGGCGTGTTTCAGTTCAGTTCCGATGCAATACGGAAACTTGCGTAGGAGTTTCCCGAAATCGGGCCACTTAGTTAAAGCACGATGGGGAAACTTAGACCGAACTTAAGCTGTACTTAATTTAAGCTCACGGGTCGCTATCACGTCGAGTCAGTGCTCTCTTGGAGGATAAACTGGGATTAAAACATGAGATTGGAACTGTATTGGGATACATTTGTTTGCGTCCGTTCGACCGTGTACGGCTTGGCTGTGCGCCCGCTTTGATACTTGCCAGTGCCCCCAGTACGCCAGAATAAGGGCCGATTACATAGGGCTCCTACATAGATTGATAATCTGGTAAAGTCTTAGGAATTCACAAGTCAATTGCGTCAGAAGTCGTGATATCGCAATGGTTCTGATGCACTATCTGTTCGAGCTTTGAGTTCCAAAAGAGGAGTAAGTAAGTGGCAAGCATTAATCAAAGATTTAAAAATGCATTAATAAAAAGAGTAAATTATTTTTTCACCAAATGGATGAACTACTGCTCGAAAATTTCACGACTAATAATGATCAACACGTTTTGGATTTAGAGCAATACTAACTGGCCAATTTTTAAGTTACCAGAAAACCATATCAAACAATGTTTACTTTTACTTTACTTTAATAATGTAATATGTATTACATGCATAGAAAGCGTCCCAGAACTCAACGTCAAGCCAAAACGAGGTAACAGTACTAATCATAACTGCCATAAAAAATATTTATTTTCTCAAGTACTAATCATAACTGCCATAATTTTTTTTCTAAAGTAGTTTGAAAGTTGCGGTCTTTTAAGTGCATCCTGAAGATTAGATAAAAACGTGACAATTTTTTGGTTAATGTAGTTATTTTTTATTGATTTTGTTAATTTACGATTTGAATCCGTAATCGTAAATAACATTTCAGAAACACAGTCAAAAATGGTACCACAATTACCCAAAGTTTTCAAGAATTGAGACTTTTTGTTGAACCACAATTTGTTTTAATCGGTCAACTTTGAGGGGCTATCCCTTAAAAGAATATTAATTACCGCTTATTTTTCTTCAGAAATCTATCCTTAGCCTTTTAAAAACTAACCTGTGTTTAAAAATTATGTACATATATAACAAATGAAGTTTATTAATATTAGAGACTAGTTTGATATAATTTCTATATGCCCAAGCATATGTAAATAATGTAGTAAATTATGCATTATATGATCATTAAATGAAGTTATAAATCGACATTGGAATAATTATCCCATAAACTCGATCAGTATATAGGTAATCTTTGCTATTAAAATTGCTTTTAATGGTAATGATGTTATTAATGTAGTAACACTCTATACTTTAAAACTTTGAACTAAAGAAATAAATCGATTGTTTCTGTGCAAAATATGCCACCATCCAATCCCATACAGATTAATTATACAAAGTGCGCTACTTTATATCAAGAAAATGAGTTTCCATTAAAGATGTATTTATAAATCGATTAAAAGCTACGGATATATATTTCTCTAACAACGTTTTTAATCAATAACAAAGCTTATACATATATAAGTACAAATATACCTTTAATGAAAATATGCTTTCTCATTTAACTACAAGTACACTGGCTACTTATAGAACTCAGAGTTTACTGGAATTTTAATAAATACATACACAATAATTGAATTTATAATAATAAAATATAATTCATAACTACTTGATCCTTACATATCATCTCCTGTTTTTTATATTTTATTTATGTAAAAAAAAATATCTTGATTCTAAACACATATTGCTGAAGTTAGTATTGTGTTTAATTATTATAAAAACTTTCAACTAGTGGGGTGCATGGCATCGTGCCTTAAGGCAAATTGCTAAAACTTCGCGTATCGTAAAACATTGGTACGAAACCCAAAAAAAATTACACAAAATGTGTACATATTATTAAAATCTCTATAAAATATCTGATAATTTGATGTACATATGAACATTTTTGACCGCAAAATTACATTTTTTTAACATATTTTCATTGAAAGTCCATAACCGCTCGATCTGCCTTCCCAAAAACTTAATCAGTTATCTTGTCAATACAAATAAAATCTTTTTGTCAGCACAAGCTGAAAGTTTTGAATGCATATTTCTCTCAAAAACTGTAATTTTTTGTTTTTACCAAAAACTGACTTGAACTTCTCCCAATCTAATTACTAATAGAATATTTTTTTGATCATCGGATGCTCCGTTCTCTCAAAAACTCGATTTTTATTCTCTGCACTCTTTGCTCTGTATCTCCGTATCGGCTGGACATGCCTTTGCCAAAAACTAATCAGCACATCTCCATTACATTTTTCGACGTTTTGAAGGTTTCTGAACATTTTGGCATACCTCAGATAAAATGTGTGTGTGTGTGTTTTGTGTGTCCTAATTTTTTCCTTCACGTTTCCGGGCGCACGGATCAAACGATTTGAATAGAACAAAAAACATTCAATTCCTATTGAGGAAGATGTTCTGATTGGTTTTTGGCAAAGTCAGGTCCAGTCATTACGGAGATACGGAGCAAAGAGTGAATGAAAATCGAGTTTTTGAGAGAAGAAACCATCTGGTTTAAATTATCCGAAAAACATTTAATTTGTACTGATTGGGATAAGTGGTAATTAGTTTTTAGCAAAGGCAGGTCCAGCCATTTAGAAGATACAAAGCTAAATATTCAAGACGTGGCAGTTTTAGAGAGTACTTATCATCCGACTTGAATAACTCAAAAAACTTTCTGCTTGTGTTGACAAAACAATTGCTTTCGAAAAAAAAAATTCATTTTTTTTT